GCTACGAAGGTCAACCACTAACTGGTCACCACTGTGCTGCAGGTAAAGCATTTTCGCTTTCTGAGTGCTAGAAATCAGCTATCCAATGAACCAGTTAAAAGGAAACAGGATGAAAGAAAACTTCTCTCATTCTGATGATGCCAAACAACTGCCATCAAAAGGAAATGAGGCAAAAGAATTTCAATTAATCTGCAAAGCCAAAAAACTGACAATTGACGACTTAACTATCAACATTCTAGCATTCTACTCTTCATGAATGACCCAGAGACTCATATGTATAGTTTTAAACTTTCCTTTTTTTAAACTCACTTCTCATTTCTAATCTGCGTGTATGTGTATTGAGTTACTACTTCTTCTTGCATTCAGTAACTAATAAACTCACGTTTTTGTCAACTCAAGGAAACCTAGTTAAACTGGCTACTGCTTTCATTAATATATTCCTTCATACAAAATGTAGATTCTTTTCATGAAAGTATTAAAACAATAATTATGTCGGAAGGTCAAACTTTTCCTGTATATCTACTGAGAATTGGGAGCAGTGCAATATAATGCTAATGTTTTTGCAAAATATTTTGATAAAAACAGCATCAGAAAAAGAATGAATTATATTGCATAATGAAGAATCATAATTTTGTGTTGTAAATCCAATCATTACTTTATCAAATAGGTAAATTGAGAAACATCAGTCATCAAAGCTGGTTCAAAATTCAGATACAAGGAGTGTAAACTATTTAAAATTGGTAGACGTAGAACTTAACTGGTTCTTCCACTAACATTTTTGTATGTTGCATCTGTTAAGGAAAATTGGGCTCACTGGTTTAAATGTTGTTACTTTAACCATCAAAAGTTCAATTTTCCACTTAATGATAATCAAATACAATTATCATCAGTTCCAATATGGGCTCAATAGAGATATTCAAGAGTGTTCAAGGAATGAGATCGAATAAAGTTAACTAAATTATGTAGTTTATTTTTTAAAAATAGACAGTTCCAGGTTTCTTGACTGAATGGAGATAAATTGAAGTCTAATATGTTTGGGACCATGGAGAGGAGATAAAGGAGTGTTTATGGATATATTTTATTAGGCTGATATTGCAGGTAATTTATGGCATAATTCATTGAGATTATTGCAGCAATTTCAATCAACATGTTCATAAGTGTTTTGACATACCTCCAAGGCACATGGGACTTGACCATTTGGCCCTGAGGTAGGGACACTATCTCAGCTCCACAAGACTCCCATTGGGATGATTGTTGGGGTAGTTTATCAAAGTGATCATCATGATAATTTGTGGAGTTGCAAATGGAGTTAATCACTTGGGTAAATATAAGCTATTTTATTTGGGATGATTAAGGATTATGATATTGGAGTAATTATGGGGTTTAACATATTGGGGTGATTAGTGGATACTAAATGGTCTTATTATAATTGCGATTATTGGATTGTTATGAGGTAATGTTTTGACGTAAATTATCAGATTTATTATAGGATAATTCCTGTGAATGATTATGGGGTAATTTTGTTGGTTTTGTTTGAAGAACTTGCCAGAACAATTATGTGGGCTAATATATTGTGCAGGATATTTGGATAATATATCAGGGTGATTATGGGGTAATACATTGGGGGTGTTTATGGCAAAAAGTTTTTGGGGTATTTATGTGTACAATTTATTAGCATGACTAATAGGGTTATTTATTAATCTTACTATGGGGATAACTTATTGGGCTGATTGGGCTCACTATAGGGGTAATTAGTGTAATACCATAAAGCTACACAAGCAGAATGTTCTTGAATTGGCAATTCACTGCCAGTAATGTATACGTTTGTCTCCTGAGGCCTTGTAGGTATGACATTAGGAGGCATCATCCCCTTATTGATCCTAAAATCATCATCCTTATTTCATTTCAGAATTTTATTTTGATTCGGTTGCCTATGTTGATGTTATTCTCCTTGGTGGAAGGGCACTTGAACATACTACCTGAAGGCATTGTGCAAATGGAATTGTTATATCATTCGCCCATTGAATAGCCATTCGAAAGGAGTGCTAATTTATACAAGCTTTAATCCAAGCACTCATCTTAAGAATACTCTCCATATTTAAAGATGGCAGATTATGGAATTAACTAGCACAATGACGATGCAGTTTGGCAAAGCATTCAAAGACTATGAACAGGGAATAGTGGATATTATGTTAAATTAAGGTGCTAGTGCTTCGAGGGAAGAACATAAATGGTGGGATGAATTGGATTATATCAACATTGTTTTTCAATGATCTTGTAACAACACTCACCCATTGTAAACTATTAAAGTGTGTGGTTAAGACAAAACAATTGTAGGCTTTGACTTATACCTACCAGGATAAAATAAATTGATATAAAAGGTGATTTTACCTTGATTTAATTGCCCCGTTGCATTTTTTTTCACTAATGATGTGAAGGTGCTACTGTTGTATTGATTATGTGCTGCCTGAAAGCTGATCTACCCAACTGGAAATTATAATGGTTGAAAAACTGTTTAAGTCATGAATAATATGATTTGATATATTTTCAGATCAATTACCATGTGTTCTGCATATGCCATGATATTGGATATATTGTATACTCTGACCAGGATATCTTTTAAATGTCAAGTTTAAAAAAGAGAAACTACACATACTGTAAATTAATTCTGATAAAAGGTCACTGCTAAATGCATTTTGTCTCTGTTGCTGACAGATATGTTACATATTTCCGAAATGTTCTGCTTCTTTATAAACCAAGATTCTTCTGGCCTTGGCACTGGTATCGAACTACGCAATTGTGTTAGTCAATAATGAGACTCATTCACGATAAAAGTGTCTGAAATGTACAAATAATGTAATTAAAAACCGAAAGAACAGCAAATGCTGCAAATCAGGAACAAGAACAGAAGTTGCTGGAAAAGCTCAGCAGATCTGGCAGCATCTGTG